ACGGTAGCACAGTTTATCGAGGACCAATTCCGCACACCCTCGGTCCCTACGCAGACTGATCCAAGTGGGTCACCCACCCGCACACTGACCGCAGCCAGTGATGCTTGACTTCGGTGATCTGATGAGAACCGTGTCTTAACGATCAGTCCACTGCGGGACAATTACTAAATAGAAAAATCAATTTATCAAAAATGATAAAATAGCTCATAAAATCGTAATTTGTTTGTACGGTAGTCGAATACACTAATTACTCCTAATTTCTTTTCTTAAAATACACATCGATTATTAAAATGTTACTTTTATTTTTAGATGCTAAATCGTTATGTGTTTGTTGGATAAACAACCAAGAAAAACAAGGCCAAAATGCAGCGGAACAGCAAATCATTTGACGTTCCACCTTTGGAGCCAAAAATTGAACAAGTGGTACCACCAAAAAAAAATAAATTCTCAGTTTTCAAAGGACTTATTTTTGCCATGTTATCGGGCGTGTTTTACTCATCAGCTGCTGTTATAGTCAAACAGATGAAAAGCTTACATCCTGGCCAGCTAGCAGTTTACCGTTTCGTGGCAATCCTCGCAATATCTCTACCAGAAGCTGTCAAATGCCGTAAAGAACTTTTTGGTCCAAAAGATTATCGTTTCCTTCTCGTTCTTAGAGGCATATTCGGTGCAACGAATCTTTTCCTCAATTTTCTAGCCTTCCGATACTTACCTTTAGGTGAGGCAGCTGTAATTATATTCAGTGTTCCTGTTTTTGTCACTGTGGCTGCGAGAATCTTTCTAAAGGAACCTTGTGGAATGTTCCAGTCCATAACAGTCGTCCTCACAGTAATTGGTATAATATTCACCGCCAAAATACCATCTCGTCTTTCAAGCAATCCCGTTGTGTACTCAAAAGAGTTTATCTACGGCATCATCGCAGCAGTTGCTTCACTTCTCTTCAGCACTTGCAGATTCATTGTCCTTCGTAAAGTTAAAAGTGTTCATCATGCCATTATAATGTTCAACTTCGGATGGGTGGCTGTTATAGAAACTGCCTCGCTTACAGCTCTCATTGGAACTTTCCAGTGGCACGAATGTGGTTTGCAAGGTCTGTTTATCATTCTTCTTGGTCTATTCAGCTATGCAGGGCAGACTTTATTGACTATGGCCTTACAGTGCGAATTAGCAGGTCCAGTATCTACCATGAGAGCTGCTTCTGACATAGTTTTGGCATTCCTCTGGCAGACGTTCCTATTTCATGACATTCCTGATATTTTCAGTATTGTTGGTGCTGTTCTAGTTGGATTTTCAGTTGTCTTTGTTGGGTTAAAGAAATGGGTATCCTCTTTACCCGAAGGTTCTTCGAAGCTTAAATATTTAAAGTGGATGACTAAGTAAGAACAGAAGTGTCTGTAGTTCTCATTGTATAGTTTATATAAAATTATTTCATATGTTAGCATTGCTTACTTTCTTAAGAATAAAATATCAAATGATGACTTGGATTTGCTTGAGTATTGGAGTTTTCTATAATAAATCTTGATTTAGTTTGATCGTTTACGTGTCGTTAGAGCTATACTTTGTGTNTTTGTTTAACCAAAAGTATTAATAAGAAATTATTGCTGACATTAAGTGTATACGAAATTTGTCTGAAAATTTTCAAATCAACTGATTCATAAAAAAAATATTTTTTTTTTAAATTTTGATCGCTTGTACTTTGTTAAGTCTCTTTTGAAAATGAGCAATAAAATATTTGTGCTTATAATGAGGTTAATTAGATTTTTGAGCACTTATGAGCTTAAAGAGTAATTTATGATTCTGATATTTTTTACGATCTGTTAATTTAAGTAATGTTGAAAATAAAAATTTATGTTCAGAAAGAGAAAGCAAAAGCTATTACTTAAATCGCTAAAACTCAAGTCAAAGATAACGATATATATAAGAGAAAATCCAAAACTAACTGCATGCAATTATAAAAATCTTTTATCCTAAGATAATTCCCAGCAAAAATAAATTTTTATTATTATTTATTAATTTATTCGGTATTTATTTAATATTTATTATAAATTTATTTAATAATAGTAAAAGGAATTGTAAGGAATGCAAAATTTTGCAAAATTTTAAAGTTTACAGTTTTTAATGACAAAATATGTAATTCGACCGAAATCGGTCGAATAGTTTCTGAGTTATAATTTAACCGTTTCGGTGTTGAAGAGTTTTCTTATATATATGCTAATGGTGCGGAATGAAATGCGTAGTAATTTCATCGCACAATAAAAATCACAATTGTGTAAAATGAATAAAAACTGCGATTTATATGAATTCAACTGCTCTCAATAGATGAGAAAATTATACTAACCAACAGCAGCGTCTCCGCATTCACTCAGTGTATATGTGATGTGACTTAATCAAACTGTTTTTTTTTTTTATCTAATGACGTGTTCATGAGAACTCAATGTAACAGTATATGGTTCTCGCAAAAATATAAATGGTTGCAGATTTGTATATAAGCAGCGGTGATATAAATGATTTACATATTTTAAATTAGCATATATTCAATGTCTCAGAAAATGTATTGGATACTGAAATGCCTGCAACTTTTTAAAATTTGTTTACCAATGTTACAGTCTTGCATTAATTCATAAAAGTCTAGAGTATTTTAAATTTTTACTAGAATAAAATGACCTAATCAAAAACCTTTTGTCTTTATCAATATGATTTTTATTGAAATGACTGTTACAATTGATACTTTTAATCCATTTCAATAGAATTCGGAAAAAGACCTTAGTCTATAACAAACTACAGCTCTTGAGAAGAATATATTTCAATATAAAGTTCTATACAAGGTTAAAATGTTCATTAGCAATAAAGAAGTTATTAGCAAAAAAAAAGATATATTCTTTAATAGTGACTCTTCTTTAATAGTCTTAAACTGTGGCACGATTGTACTATAAGTTATAATTGCCGCTAATGTTGATACGAGCATGCTTCTTTTAATGCAAAACATCTTCCAAACTGTCAAAACACAGTTGTTCCTCATTTTGTGGTACGTAGTTTATTTGGTCCTTCGATTCGAGCAAGTTGTTGGTATTAGCGAAACAATTGTTGATTTTGGTACCACCATACTCTTGAAAATAATACGCTATAAACACAATTAAACCAAACCACGTTCTATACAAGTTAAAAGATTCACCAGCACCCAAAAAGTAGTTTTAAAATGACAGAAAATAAGACCTATTCTTTAATTGTCTTAAACTGCTGCACGATTGTACTATAAGTTATAATTGCCGCCAATGTTGATACGAGCAAGCTTCTTTTGATGCAAAACATCTTCCAAACTGTCAAAACACAGTTGTTCTTCATTTTATGGTATGTAAAGTAGTTTATTTTGTCCTTCAATTCAAGCAAGTTGTTGGTATTGGCGAAAAAGTTGTCGATTTTGGTACTACAATGCTCTTGAACATAATCGGCCATAAAAACAATCAAAGCAAACCACGTTATCATTTGAATATCCATAAAAGCAAAAGCAACAAAAGAGTGAGACACGCTTTTTCTATTGAATATCAAAGAAATGAAGGTGAAAAAATGCTGGCAAACGACGCACATAATACAAATAATTGGAAAAGACATAATATATTCCAATTTTTCAACTGAATTCACAAGATTCTTCAATTGATGGTATGATATTTCATTGCCGGTATTGGGCATTATTTTTTCTCTTGTCACTTTGTTAGGCATGATAATTACGTGACAAAAAAGACAAAATATGAAGGCAGTCACATAATGAGTTCCAGCATCTAAGAAAAGTGGCAAGCAGTCTAGAAAAAAGGATATGATGACGACATTATATGAATCTTCTTTGAAGAAAAAATGAGT